CCAGTGAAGATATTCTGAGTAGCTCAGTTTGTAGAAAATTTTACGGGCTATCTAATGCTGTGTTTAGTTTGCCATTTTAGTGTAAGGTAGTTGAGAAAAATCTGTTGTACTCATCATATGGTGGCTTTTTAACGGTGCTTATTGAGATGCTATTGTTCAGGAATTAACTGGGTTTTACCTGACAAAAGCATCTGATTTTACCGAAAGCGGAATAGAGGAAAAATTATTGAATATAGATGGAAAACTCTTCTTTAAAACTGGTGATCTACTTAAGATGAACAGTAATAACGAGTTAATTTATATTTCTCGTACAGATTTTCAAGTGGAATTACGAGGGCAACGTATTGCAACTGCTGAAGTTGAAAATTGTATTCTAAATTCCTATCCAAGTGAGATCAAAGATTGTATTGTAATTAAAACTGTCGACGATCGAACGCAAGAAGAATGTCTTGTCGCCTATTTACACCAGCTAAAGCAGCAGACAGCGTGTGCTCCTAGCAATCAGTTGAAAATCAAAGACTATTGTCGGCGGTACCTTCCAGAGTATATGATACCATCAGTGTTTATCATTCTCGATAAACTGCCTTTAACTGAAACGGGAAAAACGAATAGAAGACCTCTTCCAAAAGTTGATTTTTCATCTGTTAGAACTTTGACGGTCGACAATCACAACTATGTTCAGACAGAAACAAAACTTGAAATAGAAGTATATAATCTCTGGTGTAAAGTATTGAATCAAACGAGAATACCAATGAATGAAAATTTTTTTAATGTTGGTGGTAGTTCATTATTACTAATGAGATTGCATGGCTATTATCAAAGAAATTATTTTACCGAAGGTAGTCAACTGCTTACCGTTGTACAACTGTTCGAACATCCAACAATATCAGGACATGTTCAACTTTTACAAAGCATATCTGATGAAAGACGACAACAAAAGGAAGGTCAATCAACACCGTGCATTCCGTTGAATCTCACGCACGGTAAGCGGCGACCAACTCTTACAGATCTCATTAGGAATGCGGCTCTCCAAAAAGCAGGAATCTTCTTTTGCAACGTGAAGGACGGAGTCGCTCAGAGTATGCTTTTTGATTCGTTCTCTGGCAAATCTATAAAACCGTTTGGATCCTTCACGTCTACATACTTACTCCCCTGCGTTTTTAGTTTATAACGATAATTAAATCTCCTCGTCGCCGTGATCGTTTTTTTCTTCTAGGTCGCACCTCTTACGCACAAGCACGTATTTGGTTAGATGAACAAGTTCGCTTTTCAAATCCACATTTCAAACATGTAGCAATTTACAATAATCCATTCCTGATGAAAATTAATTCATCTACTCCAGTCGCAGTCGAGCGAGTTCGCCAAACATTTCTACTACTCATAGAAAAACATTCCGTCTTACACACATCGTTGAACTACAACCATGAGCGACAGTACTTGGAACAATTCATTCAACCCTACGATGTCTTTGTAACTCAAAATCTAAATCAACTATTTCAGACCAGTACGATTTATACCACTGCAGAATTAGACAATATTCTCTACGATGAAGAGACAAATCACTTTCTATTCAATCTAGAACAAGGCATTGTTTGTCGATGACATCTAATTCGCAGCGCCTCCAGCTATACTGAGAACGTTGATTATCTTTTGATCAATGTGTACCATTGCGCAACTGATGGTAGTTCAATAGGCGTCTTACTCAAGGATTTAAATTTAGCTTATCTTAATCAAAAATTGGATGATCTTTCGCTACAATATTTAGATTATTCAATATATGAAGTAAGTGTCGTCTCCTCTGAAGAAATCGAATTTTGGAAACGTCAGTTAAATGGCTATGAACAACATTATTTACCATTACCTTATGATCGTGCAGATCAGTTGTACGAGATACGTTCAGGACGCGGGTCGTCGATCAGTTTCACTCTTACTCAAGATCTCTTTGAAAATATAATGAAGCACATCGAATCAACAAAAACAACATTGTTTCATCTGTTTTTAACTGTCTACTACATCTATCTATTCAAAATGACACAAGAAAAAGTTTTCTGTGTAGCAAGTATGTCTGCTAATCGTCATTCCAATCCACAATCACTGGAGAATCTCATTGGAATGTTTGTTAATACCGTACCCTATCGTTATCAAATTGATCCGACACTATGTTTCAATGAACAGCTAATTAAATTTAAGGACGTCACTTTAAATGTTTTACACTATTTAACTTTATCCTACCAGAAAATACTGGAGTGTATTTGCAAGAAGTTGCCCTTAATCAAATAGGTGAATTTTACATTGGCGGTTGTTGTGTATTTTGTGGTTATCCGAATCAACCGGAGTTAACTGCAGAAGTATTAGCAGAACTGTCACCTCATCGTTCCCTCGGGAGTAGGCATGCATCAGTTTTTAACTGGTGTTGGGGCATCCGAGAGAATTGCTATACATCACCTATCATGATCCTCTCCGAGCAGTGAAACATCTCATTTTGTAGAAAAATGTTTGCTCTACAAAATGCGTGTTAAAAGAGTTCCAGAATCAATTCTAAGA